AGCGTGGGTTGTGTACCAGAACCACGCCCGTAAACGCCCATCGGCTTCACACTCATCATGGGCGGGGGGGGGGGGGGGGAAGGGAGGGGGTGTGATAAGGATAGGAGGGAAGGGAAGGTTGGATAATTGGGGGGAATGAGGGAGGGAGGAGGAGGAGGAGATGGATAATTAGGAAGTGGGGAGGGGGAAGAGGAAGGGGAGGGAGATGGATGAAAAGGGAAGAAGCACAGAGAAGAAGAAGGAGAGAACAGAAAGCAGAAGAAGAGAAGAAGGGAAGATAGAAAGAAGGATATGAGAGGTGAATGAGGGAGAACGCAGAGAAGAAGAAGAAGGGAAGAATAGAAAGAAGAATATGAGGGGTGAATGAGGGAGAAGGAAAATGAATAAGGTGATGATGAATGGAAGAGGGAGAAGGAGAAATGAAGGGAGAATGAGTAAGGAATGAATGAATAAGGACATGAGGAAGAAGAAGAAGAAGGCTAGGTATAAAGACCACCTCGATAAGGATATGAAGAGGGAGGAGATGGAAAGGGAGAAAGGAAGAGGGTGATAAATGTTTGGAAAAGAAAAAATAAGGAAAAGAGAGAAGAGAAGTAGAGAAACAGAAAATGGAAGAAATGATGATTAGAATTATGTAAATCATGTAATATATGAATAACTGGACGAGAGAGAGAGAGAGAGAGAAGAGAGAGAGAGAGAGAGGGAGAGAGAGAAGAGAGAGGGAGAGAGGAAGAGACAGAAGGAGAGACCCAAAGACAGAGTAATAATGAGAGAAACAAAGACACAGCGAAAGAAAGAGAAAAGAATAAAAGACAAAGAGAAGAAAAAGAGAATGAAAGACAAAAAAAAAGAGAAAGAGAATGAAAGACAAAAAAAAAAAAAAAAAAAAAAAAAACAGGAGAGAGAAAGAGATAGAAAGAAGGGAGCGAGGAGAAAAGAGAGAGAGAGAAAGACAGACGGAGAGAGAGAGGAGAGGGCCGTAAATTGGCGTAAAATGACGAGTTCAGATAAAAGTGAGACGAGGGTTAATGACAATCAGCTGAGACGGTCGCTCGTCTTCTGTTTCCTTGCAACGAGAGAAGATGGCGGTGTTGCAGTGGTGTTGATGGGAGGAATTTTAACGGTAGCTTTAATGATGGTTGTATTGCAATTACCTGTGGCGGTGATTGTAGTGGTATAGACGCGTACATAATACCTACATTTATATAATGGTGTGTGTTGTTTGCGTGTGTTGTATACACACACACACAACACACACACACACACACACACACACACACACACACACACACACACACACACACACACACACATACATATATATATATATATATATATATATATATATAATATATATATATATATATAATAATACTAATATATATACATATATACACACACACACACATATGAATATATATATATATGTGTGTGTGTGTGTGTGTGTGTGTGTGTGTGTGTGTGTGTGTGTGTGTGTGTGTGTGTGTGTGTGTGTTTAGGCGCTTGATCCTGACCGCTGCCCAATTGTTTAGGTCGCTTACATGAATATTAATGGTGGGAGGCGAAGGTAAGCTGGGCGGTTAGTTCAGGACGAGAAGTAGGCCTATGGTGATTAAAAAAAAAAACGCTGTTTTTCGGCAATGAGCCAAATATATAGTGAGGAAATAAGGAAATTTTTATACTGTTTCATCGTGAAGTGTCGAAGCGGAAGTGAACAAACAAACAAATACAGAAATTGATGAAAACATACAAATTCGAAAAAGCACATCTCAAAGAAGTGACTAAAACGTATCCAGAAAACCCTGAAGTGTAACCGCCTTTCCTTTCACCCCAAAAAAAACAGGAATTAGATATTTTGTATCACTCAGAGCCTATCTCATCGATAAGAGATAATAGAAAGACAAAAAATACCCCCCCCCCTTTCAGAGAGAAAAAAAAAGACAATAACTGTGATTAAGAGTGCGTCCTGAAAAATGCCGGGGTGGGTGGGGCTTGCGGTGGGCGTGGCCTTAGTGTTGGGGGTGGGGCTCCCAGCTGTCTCCGCCCAGAGTCGTCAGCAGGACGGTAAGCAGTCGACGTGCGATTTTTTATTTTTTTTTTTTTTTTTACATTGTAATTATTAATGGTGGTGGTATTATTAGTTAACCTACTGGTTACTGTATATTATGATATACACTATCTCTGTCTCTCTCTCTCTCTCTCTCTCTCTCTCTCTCTCTCTCTCTCTCTCTCTCTCTCTCTCTCTCTCTCTCTCTCTCTCTCTCTCTCTCTCTCTCTCTCTCTCTCTCTCTCTCTCTCTCTCTCTCTCTCTCCCCTCTCTCCCTCTCTCCTCTCTTATATATATATATATATATATATATATATATATATATTATATATATATATATATATATATATGATTATTAATTGAGATCGACTAACTATTAATACTAGAGATTGAGCCACACTAAA